AGGCAGGCAGGCAGGTAGGAAGGAAGACAGGCAGGCAGGGGAAACAAGCACGGGCAAGAAGTGGGAAGAACGGAGCGCTGGCAGGAGAGAAGGCTGCCAGCGCCATGGCAAGCAGCAGGGCGCTGCATCTAAGAATGGAGCCGTACTACTGCTGCATTCAGCAATTCCACTTCCGGGCCATGTACACAAGAACTGAGAGCAGGGGCTTGCACACCCATGTTCACAGCAACCATACTCACAACAGCCAAAAGGGGGAAGCCATCGAAGTGTCCATCAACAGATGAACGGATCAACAACACATGGGCTCCACCTCCCGGGGAATATTACGCAGCCTTAAAAAAGAGGGCAATTCTGACCGCTGTCACAGGAACATGGATGAACCGCGAGGACGCTGTCCTAAGTGAAGCCAGCCAGCCCCCCAAGGACAAAGACGGCCTGACTCCGCTCCGTGCGAGGCGCCTTGCGCCGTCACACTCCTGGCCACGGGAGGTGGAGCAGAGTGTTATCAGGGGCGGGGAAGGAGGAAGGGGGGACCGTTACGGGGACAGAGCGTCAGCTGTGCGAGGCGAAGAGCGCTTGAAGAGGATGACAGTGATGAACACACGACAGTGCGAATGCACTTCATCTCACGGAGGCAGGCGCTTACAATAGTAGCTTTCATGTTGTGTCGATGTTACCACAATCAGACCAATTAAACAGTTTTCACTTACAGGCTGTGGGGGGCGGGCGGTGGGAGGGGAAGGTTTCTGCCTTTGACCGGCTTTCCTGAGTACAGATTATAAAAGAAGACAAGCAACATGGTGTCGTAGGTCGTGATGGGTAAGCCTCGCACCCTGGGGACTTGCTGCAGCCAAGTCCCGTAACTCTGCTCGGCCTCACTGTCCTCACCAAATGGATCCAAGGGTACCGAGCTCCCCAGGTTGCGAGCATTCCAGAAGCAGGCCCCAACCCCGAGAGCACGCAACATGCTGGGTACGCTGGCTTGCTGCACACCAACCCCTCGGCAAGGGTCAGCTGCTACCATTTGCCCCCTCAAGACGCCCCGCAGGGGACGAGGCGTGCCGGCCAAGGAAAGCGCTGGGAGCCGGCTTCGAGCCCACCTCCCACTGCTGCCCGAGTCTTTCCTTGGCTTGGGCCACTGCTTTGTTTTCCTTCAGGAAACGCCACCAGCCGTGGGTGACAGGAAGGGAGGGGAAACTGGCAGAGCAGAAGTCAGTCAGCTGCCCTTTCACTGGGACCTTGGTCAGAGTTCCTTTTGAAAAGCTCCCTCCCGGCCTCCCAGACCCACAGGAAAGGTGGGCTTTTCCACATGTTGACAGAGCAGTGGGGCTCTGCCCACTGGGAGGAAGGTCGGGGAGAGCGAACAGGAAGCGAGGAATAGGGGCATCAAGTCCACAAACAGACTTCCTCTCTGCCGAAGGTTCTGGACCGGCCAACGGAAAGACGGGTCTCTAGGGAGGAGGTGCAGGAATCCATTCTGAGCAAGACAGCCAGAGGGAGGCTGCCCTGACAAGATGGAGAGGTGGACTTCCAAACCAAATCAATAACCCTGGACCCCCCCACTCCGTGCATGGGAAGAGGGCCCGGGAGGGCTCTGTCTGTCATCCCTGCGCCAACCTCAACAATGAATCACCCCTAAGCCACAACAGAAAGGAAACACCAGGGAGGCCCCACCTTGGTGGCTGAAAGAGACCAGTGTGAACAAAACCCTCCAACGCAGGGACCTCCCCAGATCCACCTCCCTAACACCGGAGCGCAGCCCGGTGAATGCTGGACGGATGGAGGAGGGAGGGAGGGCGGGTGGACAGGGGGACGCGGGGTGCGCTTCTGGCGGACCTTACAACACTACTGAACGTTTCACCACTGGAAGGGACCGCTTCTCCATCATCCCATCGGGCGGCGTACGTGGGAGCAAGCACGCGACACACACCCAAACTCTGAGATCACCAGCTGATGCAGGACACTGGCCTGACACCCAGGGGCCTCAGAGATGGAAAGGGACACCGGGGGGGAGCTGGAGAGGTTAGCTGGGGCCTCACGTATCACGCTGACAGATCTTAACAGAGAATAGAAGGAAGGAAAATGACGTAAAAATTTTTAAGAAGGTCTTACACGAGGCTAAATGATACAATAATTTAAAGCACTGAGCACTGTGTGTGGCAGGCTGAGTGCTCAATAAATGGTAGGATTTATCATTACATTATTAATAATAACTGGATCAAAACCTTAAAAAATGGGAGAGAGAATGCTCAACTTTACTCAAAAATAAATACAAATTTAAGCAAATATCTGCGTTGCCTTTCACCCATCAGGATCACCAAAGGTCTGGTAATACAGGGAGTAAGGAAAGGCGCGCCCTCTTGCACCACGGGGAGAAATACAAATTGTTACCCCCTCTCTCAAAACATTAGACCAGAAAACACTTCGCTGCTGGGATCCCTCCTCTAGGACTCGATCCTCTTTGTCCTGTTTGTCTCCTCCTCACACACGCATACAAACAGGGAGACCCCAAGGTTTCTAAGCAGCAGTATTCATGATACTAATGGACCGGGAGCAACTCTACGTCCATCAGGAAGCAAACGATTTCTCCTCAGTAAGGAAATCACGCTGCCAAGTCCAGGGTCAAACCATGTTTGTTACAAAAATGTCCCACACGGAGCACCTCGGGTGCTGACGGGGAACCGCTCCGAGACGCACCGTTTGGGGAACATATACACTGCATTACATGTTTCTACGTTGATCACTTCCCCGGCTCATGTCTGCCTGGCCCGTCTAACTGTCGCAAGTCAACCTGCTTTCCTTCCTTACGGTCAACCTCTCTCCCGCCACAAAGTAGGGCAGGTGCGTGGCAATCTTGTGTCTCCCCAGGACACAGAAGGTGCTCAAATGTGAGGGCCTCAAGAATGAGGTCCAAGTGCTCCACGGCACAGCAGCCTTCTCTGCAGATGGACCTGAACATCCACGGAAGTGAGGCTCCAGCCAGGTGAGGGCTGTGTCACCATCAGCCCCCAGCGCTTGGCACGGCGTCCGGCACCCCGCAGGTCCAGCCAGACCGCACGAGGGCCTTCCCACACCACAAAACATGCTCCGGTGGCCGTGGAACGTTTCAAGAAAGAACATCAGAGGCCAATACGATCTGGAGAAAACCACAGAAATACGAACGAATCTTACCTGTTTCTTCTGGTTTGATCCACTGAATAAATCTGCTTTCTCAGCCAACTGGGAAGAGAGTTGAGATAGAGACAGAGAGAGAGTGAGTTAGTAAACAGTCCCAGTTTCGGTTAGTTCTATGGAATGGGGACAAAGGATACTGGAAACAAGAAAAGCTTTCCAACTTGCTAACTCGAGCAGCTCGGGAAGAAGCAGTTTTCTCCTTGTTGTTGAGATGCCCTAGCTGAGCCAAGAGGACCCCCCCACAACGCACAGAGGCTGGCACTCTTTAAACGGACAATCCTCTCTGTTCATTATCCCCCCAAAAAGCTGATGAGAAAACCGGTGGGAATCAGAGGGTTTTAACCGAGGGGACAATCATTCACATGTCAATCCCACACGGACCTCCACGACACAGACGCACAGACAAGGCCGTCCTGAGTGGGTGGCAAATCCCACACCCTGTATGGGACTGTCCTTTGGTGAGTCGGCTGAATCCCTTCCTAATCCTGCAAGAAGGAAGCCCTCTGTCCTCCCCTCAAACACCACCAATGCCTGTTTCTGTCTGGGTTTCAGCATGCGCCTCACCCCAGGCAGCCAAGCACTTTTGCTTAAAAGTCAGTACCTCTCGATAATGGTGGGTGTGGACGCGCTCACTGCTTCCTGGTGTAAGATTTTCAAGCCCGAGAGCCACTTAGTCGCATCTTCCTTAGAGTCAGCTGGAAGGTGAACACGGACGGAAATGGCGTTACTCCCTCGGGAAGACCTCTGAAGAGCAATTGGGGCCCTGGGCCATCCCAGCCCCATACAGACCACGGGGACAGGAGGAGCCAGGACCCATTTCCGGTTTTGCTCAAGGGCGCCAAGAGGGCATCTCCTTCACACCTTCATGGTTCTAAGACCTGCTTTTTGTCCAAAATAAAGCCACATGCCCGTGATGACCCTTCTACAGCAAGGGTGACAAGTGGGACAATTTTTTTCCCCCAAGAGTTTTAGTTTTTACCCGTATGCTAGTGAATAAGATGCAGGGTCTGGGATAATTCCCACCACAATCCTGAGCCGCCCTCAGCATTTCCCGTTTCTCATCAAGGCCAGGGAGAGAGAGGAGAGAGGCAGCACCAAGCAGCAGAGAAGGGCCTGGCATCGCTGTCAAGTCCCACGGCACCACTTTGGGGCTGTGTGACATTCAGCTGGCTCCTGAACCCCTCTGTGCCTCATTTCCTCATCAGTACAAGGGAGCTAGCCACGCAGACACTCGTTGAGTTATTAACCATCTCCTAAGGACCAGGTACCTTGTTTATCTGGACGAGAGCATGCCAAGGTTTCTGCTCTCCCTCTTCCCATGGGAATGAGGAGAGGCTTAAGCTCAGAAGTGTTAGGAGACCTGTCCCAGAGCCCGTAAGTGGGAAGCTGGGATCTGAATCCAGGTCTTGCCCATCGCTCTCCTGGACCTAAATTTTAGAGCTCTAAAAGAAAGACCCCAGAGTGGAACAGGGTTAGCAACCTGGACTGCAAGACCCACTTGGGCTCTCGTGGTCTCCCTACCAAGAACCACCAGGCCTCAACCTGCAGCAGGGCTAAGTGGACACAATTCTGAAGTTCATGGGCAAAGGCCCCTCTCTCCTGCCCCATCTCTGCACCAACCACACACCATCAGTCAGACGTCCACTCATCATGTCCCACACCCAGCTTGCTATTTCCCTCCTTCAAGCCCTCACACATGGAACACCCTCTCTCTGGACTGGCCTCCGTCTCTCCTCCCAACTCCTACTGATGCCTCAAAACCCAATTTAAAAGTCACCTCCTCCGCAAATCCTTCCCTGAAATTGGCCCTCTGCACTCCGACAGCAGGCTGTATTGTGAATGGACTGTAGCTCTTATCCCAGTGTACTGTGAGCTCCTGAAAGGCAGCAACCGGGCTTATTGGGCCCTAGAGCCCCAGTGGCCTCCAGCCCAGTGCAGAGTACATGTTCAAAGGTGCGTGCTGAGCAAGCGAGAGAGCAAATCAACGAGAGCTACTGGGCCCTAATTTAAATGTCCCTGACACTGCTCAGCTTTCATCGTTTCCTCCCACTTGGGTCTACTTTTAATGGGATTTATTTTCTCTCATCACTCCCAGCTGTACATATGGTTCTAAGTCAATGAATTCTAGAAGTGGACCTGAAGGGGGTGACAAGCTTCTGCCCCCGAGTCAAGTGCCTGAGCTTTTCCACAGTTCATTCTCTGGCCTCTCAGAGGCCCCTTTGCTTTTGGGTGAATTCATAGGGATGGCTGGAAATCTCACCTGCAGGTCATGTGTCTATGTGAGTGCACACGTCCATGCACAAGTGTGTGTGTAAGTGTATTGTGTGTACATGTGTGAGCATGCATGTGTCTGTGTGGGGGTGTCTATGTGGGGGTGCACATATGTGTGAGATCTAAGATTTCGGGAAGTTTCTCCAGTTCAATTGAATACAGGCCAGGCTCTGCTGGATGAAAACTATAGCCTGCCTTCACCTACCTGCATGAGTCAAGCAGGCCCTTAACATAATGCTTACAATGTCCCAATGAGGCCGGCATTACCATTTTCCCCGTTTCACAGCTGAGCAAACTGCAGCTCAGAGAGGTTGAGTAACTTGCCCAAAGGCACACAGCCAGAACAGGACAGGGTTAGAATTCAAAACCATGATGCCCCCAAACACACATTAGGGGCAGGCAGGTGTGAGCCTTCTGCTACTACAGAACATCCTAGGAAACAGCCAGGCACAGGCAGGGAGAGAAGCACACGGAGGCGCACTCACCTGCCAAGCTGAGCGTGCTGAGAACAAACTGGGTGCCGTACAAGATGGTAAAGCAGCAGTCTTCCTTCTGGCGGACAGCTTTTGCACGCTCAAAATCCTTGGAGCTCTTCCCTGGGCGGATTTCCTTGATTTCCATGATATCCACTAAAAGACAATTAAGACGGGCCCATCAGAAGCCAGGGTTCACTGCACCCGAGGACGTAGCCACACCGCCTGCGCCCCATATGCATTGCCCAGCTCCTTTACTCCCCAGCCCCTCGGCCCTGTCTAAACTGCAGGATTATACGCAAGTAAAAAGCCTGCTGTTCTAAGCTACTAAGTACTGGGATAGTTGTATAGCAACAGACGATAGAAACAAGAAGAGATCTATCCTCCCCATATCCCCTGCTGCTGTGGGACTCCAACCCACTCCTAACCAAACTGGGCCAGGATGGCCAGCTGACCCAAGAGTGACCGCTCCCCCCACAGGATGGCCACCTGACTCAGGGATGACCCTGCCCCCCATAGGATGGCCAAATGACCCATAGGTGACTCCTCCCCCCAGCCCACAGGATAGCCACCCGACCCAGGGGAGATCTCCCTCCTTGCCACAGGATGACCATGGACTGTCACGAAGAGACAAGTTCGACCAGTCCCTTCCTGCCTATTTTTCCCGTCAAAACAGCACCTTTCCTGGACCTAACCCGTCCCGTCAAAACAGCACCTTTCCTGACCCACTTAGAAATGCCTCAGATGAAGCTGATCTGCCTCTCCTCACCACCGACCACAACAAGTCAAAGAGGGGGCCCAAGGGTCCTGGGAATGACCAAGGTGCCCCACGCTGAGGCACCATGATTGGTTCAGGGACGAGCACATGGCCCCCCAGCATCCTCTTGGCACTTTTTTGGCCAGAGATATTTATACAATTTCTCTTGCTGCTGCTGCCTGGCTGATAAAACAGGAGTCTGGGGGTAACGGGGAGCATGCTGCCTGCCCTAGAGAAAGAAAAGATTGAGCCCGGATGTACTATCTGAACCCCTACACAATAAATTCTCTTTTTAGCTTTGGTTAGTGTGACCTGAGTTTCTATCACTTGCAACCCTCAGAGTCCTGGCATGTATATCTCAGTCCTTGTACTGAAGAGAGAAACAGGCAAAAAGGTATCCCTGGAAATGGGAGGCGAGGGAGGGAGCGTGGACCTGGAATGGAGGAAGCCAACAGGTGAACAATGGCATTTAGAGTCAGGGTTGAAACAGCAGGAAAGGTTCATGCACAGGTAGCAACAGGAGTGGGGGTGCAGTGAATGCAATCAGGAAGGAGAGGGACGGAATGAACTGGAAGCTCTCTACTTTCTTCCCATGGGCCTAGCCAGACCAAAAACAGCTTGGCGGACAGGAGTCATGAAGGAGTGTGAAAAGACTTTAAATGGGTGCATCTGTTCTGCACCTGTTGGCTTCCTCCATTCCAGGTGAGAAAGCCACCAAACCAAACCCGGATTCACGTAAAATAAATGGCGAGAACCAGTTCCGTTCTGTAATATATTTTATTTTAGTTTTTATTTTTTAAAGATTTATTTGAGAGAGAGAGAGAGAACACGTGCGCGGGAGCACAAAGCACAGGGTGCAGGTGCAGAGGGAGGGAGAGAAGCAGACTCCCCACCAAGCAGGAAGCCCAACATGAGGGTCAAACCCAGGACCCCGAGATCATGACCTGAGCCAAAGGCAGACGCTTAACCGACTGAGCCACCCAGGCGCCTCCCAGGTCTGTATTTTAATCACACCGTACCAGTGTCAGTGACCTGGGTTTGGTGACTGAACAAGAAAGGTGTTATCACCAGGGGAAGCCGGATGAACGGTACACAGAAATCCTGTGCTATTTCTGCAATGTTCACGTGAGTGTAAAATTGTTGCAAACCAGAAAGTTTTAAAAACCACTTCTCGCATGATAAATTCCAACTGCTAAAAGGAAAAAATCTACAGCCAAGAATACTCTATCCAGCAAGGCTTTCATTTAGAATAGAGGGAGAGATCGAGTTTCCCAGAAAACACCCAAAAATTAAAAGCAAAACCAGCCACGTCCCTGTCACACACGATGCCATTGGCCTGTGGGTCCCAAATCCACAGTCCAGCTGCCCTCCTGCCCGAGTCAGCATGCACGGCCTGCCACCTGCTAAATGCCAAGTCAACACGCCTTCAGCTCAGATTGCCAAGGGCTCAAATTGACACTCTTCCCCTCAAATTCCAGCCCCTGTGCTCAGGTTTGTGCACAAAAGTGGGCATAATTATAACAGCAGAATGAAGCAACCCAAACATCTATTTCTGTGGAATACAGAATGGATAAAAGGAGTGCGCTAGGCTGAGAACATCTCCAACAAGCACATCAAAGAACAATACCTACAGCATGATTCTGGTTAGTAAAAAAAAAAAAACAAAACAACAACAACAACAACAAAAACCTGGGAAGAATAAAACAAGATGAAACCAGAGAGGGAGAAAAACAGTAAGAGACTTCTTAAGTATAGGAAAGAAACTGAGGCTTGCTGGAGGGGAGGTGGGCGGGGGGAGATGGGGTAACAGGGTGGTGGGCATGAAGGAGGGCATGTGATGGAATGAGCACTGGGTGTTGTAAGCAACTGAAGAATCACTGAACTCTACCTCTGAAACTAATAATACACTATATTGTTAATTAATTGAACTTAAAAAAAAAAAAGGAACCCACTCCCAAAAAAAACCACTTCTCAACCATAAGTGGTCCTTTTATTTTGGGAGCATGGATGCCTCTAAACCCTGGTGGGGAGAGGAATAGGGGCCAGATCCCCATTCTTCACCGAACCCAGAAACCTGGAGTCTTTTCTCTTTGCCCTCACTCCCCAAAAACAAACACCCTTTATGTGCACTGAAATTTACAGCCTTCTGGGAGGAAGTTAGCCTTGCCAATTTAACTGTTTACGCCTCCTCTAAGAACAGTGAGGGTGGTGAGTTTGTTCTTGGATGTTACCCACCCAGCTCACTGCCGGGCAAGATGCTAGTGACTTGAAGCAAGAAGCAAATATATTTTTTTTTTCCTATCAAGTCTAGCAGTGATTATCTACTATCCTTGTTCCCCATAAAATATCTGTAGGTGAGAATCTCTGAGTCGCCCTACTGTAAGTTTTTCTCCCTACAAGAAACTTACAATAAAAATCTGACACGTGTACATAAAGAAAAAATTTCATATACTGTAACACTGTCCTCAGGCAATTACCAGTTCTACTTTCTAAATTACTCTTGACTCGGTCAACTTCTCTCCATTCCCACGGCCAATGCCATAATCCAAGTCACTGGATCTCTTGCTTGGCCTATTGAAGTAAACAGAAGTTACCCCAGAACCATTTTTATGAAATTTAAATAAGCTCATGTTGGAGCGCCTGGGTGGTTCAGTCCGCTAAGCTCCAACTCTTGATTTTGGCTCAGGTCATGATCTCAGGGTCATGAGATCGAGCCCTGTACCAGGCTCTGCGATCAGCAGGGACCCTCTGCCTCTCCCTCTCCCCCTTCCCGTGTGTGCATGCTCTCCCTAAAATAAATCAATCTTTAAAAAATAAGGAAGTAAATAAATAAATATGTTCATGACCCTCCTGGGCTTCAAACCTTCTGACTGCATCCCAGTGCCCCTAGGACTGAGAACCCAGGCCCGGTGTCGACCCCGCCAGCTCCACCTGCCTGCGCCCTCGGCACTCCAGCCACTTGGTGAGCGGTCACCCCCAGCACACAGCATCAGCACGTGCTGCTGCCTCTGCTAGGAATGCTCTGGCCCTGGTCCCTCCGAGTTCCCCCTTCCAGTTTCAGCTCAACCACCATCGATCTCACAGAAAACCCTCCAACTTCTGCTCATACATATCAGCCCCTCTCCCACAGCACCGAACCGAGGTCAGTGCCTGCACGTGGGACTCGTGGGCTCGGAACCTCTTCCCTCGAAGGCGCTCCCTTCCTCAGTGCCGTGTCCCAGCCCCTAGCACAGTGGCTGGTACCCAGTGGACCCAATAAATAGCTGTGGAATGAGGAAGCGGTCGGGGCGACCGGGACACAAACCGGAGATGGACACAGAGATATGAACAAACACAAAAGGAGACCCCCGGACAGGGCAAAGAGGGACAGAGCCACCAGACATGCCACCTGGACAAGGAGGGAGAGGGATACAAACACGCACAGGTACCAAGTCAGACAGGAAGAAGCGTGAGACGTGGAAAGAGAACGAAAGAGAAAGAGCCACTCTAGGGAGGCGAGTGGTCCTGCCTTCCACTTTGGCGCCAGCTTGGGAGCCAGACGCGTCCCGGGGGAGGGCTGCAGGCACCCACCGCTCCAGCAGGACCCGTCACCTCCATGACATCATGCCGACCACGCCCCTCCCCTCCTCCCCGCCCCACCCCCACCCCAGGTAAAGGCAGGCTCATTCATGATGCTCCTGAAGAGACCAGGCTTTCTGCAGGGGCTTAGCCCTTTCTCCCCTGCCATCAGCTGACCGGACTCGTGCAGATCTCACCCGAGCGCCTGCTCAACATTGCCTGCCTTCTCCACCCCCACCCCTGAAATGATTCGTCCTGTTATTTTTATAACTGGGCCATAAAGCTCCTCACGTGCACATCTGTATGTACAGGCGCATCCTCCTCTGAGCCCCCCGGACAACAGGGATCCTGTCTGTCCTGCGCGCTCACAACTGGAGACTCACGGCCACGTGCACCAGAGCCTGGCTCAGAGCAGAACTCGGGTACCTGTGCAATGAATGGCTTAGGTTATTTGGGAGGTGGTCCCAGGAACACTGGTAGGGGAGCGAGGATGTGAGACCGGCAAGGAAAAGAGCTGAGGAAGAGGCTGCTAGGTCGTCAAGCTGGCCCTCCGTGGGTACCTGGAGCAGATCCCACGGGAGCCCTGGGAGTCCTTGCCCCACCACGGAGTAAGGGAACCGGGGTTATTTATCCCCAAACCCCATCTGCTGGTGGTCGAGGGCTGTTTCTGGGGCCTGCCTCCCCTGTCCTCAAGCACAGGGTTGTAGCGTTCACACCAAGCTGGCCTTGAGGGGCAGACACCAATGCTATGGCGAGCAGAATCCGCCCGAGGCAGCCTCTGCTACATCAGGTACTGGATCCGGTAGTTTCTGTGCTACCCCCATGGGACACAGGGATCGGT